CAGCAAGGAGTCTGCTTAAGAGTCTCTCTCTCCATCTCCCTCTGTCCCACCCCGCCACCCTGTCTCTCCCAAATAAATAAATAAATCTTTAAAAAATAAATAAAATAGGGGCGCCTGGGTGGCTCAGTCCTTAGGCTTCTGCCTTCGGCTCAGGTCATGATCCCAGGATCCTGGGATCGAGCCCCGAGTGGGGCTTCCTGCTCAGCAGGAAGCCTGCTTCTCCCTCTCCCACTCCCCCTGTTTGTGTTCCCTCTCTCACCGTCTCTCTCTGTCAAATAAATAAATAAAATCTTTAAAATAAATAAATAAACAGATAAATAAATTAATTAAAATAAAATCTTAAAATAAAGACAAAGCCTATGGAAATGTTCCAGACTAAAGGAAGCTAAAGAGACAAGATGTTGGTTCACAAACTGAAGTATATAGTGGTGAAGGGCAATGATATATAATACTCTTAAATAGTTCAGGGGAAAATATAGGTAGATAGATAAAGCATGCAAATGATAAAGCACATGGGGTAAAAAGTTAACATTACATGAATCTGGGTGAAGGTGTTGAAGGAGGTCATTGAGAGGGCATTACCCCTGATTGACCCATGAGCTAGATCCCAGGCAATCGGAGGCTCCTCACCTCCTCTCCTATCCTGGGAATGTATGTTCTGCCCACCAATCCCACAGTGGAAGCTGTTCCAAGGACACAGCCTTGAGAGAATAAGGTGTTGTTGAGACCATCTGGACTATATACGCAACTGAACCCCATTAAGGCCTCTCTATATACTTTTTTTTAAAAAAGATTTTAGGGACACCTGGGTGGCTTAGTCAGTTAAGCATCTGCCTTCAGCTCAGGTCATGATCCCAGGGTCCTGGGATTGAGCCCTGCTCAGTGGAGAGCCTGCTTCTCCCTCTCCCTCTCCCTCTGCCACTGTTCCTCCAGCTTGTGCTCTCTTTCTCAAATGAATAAATAAAATCTTTAAAAACTTTATTCATTTTTTTGAGAGAGAGAGAGCGCAAGTGGGCGGAGGACCAAAGGGAGAGGGACAAGCAGACTGCACTGAGCACAGAGCCCAATGCAGGGCTCGATCCCATGACCTGAGATCATGACCTGAGCACCCCAAGGCCTCTATATAAACTTTTAAAATTTAGTGGGTGAGCACAGAGATTTTGTCATCTCATAGCCACCTAAGATAAGGCTTGCATGTAAGTTCTCTTGCTTAGTAAACCTGCCACCTATCAATCTAGAGTGTTCTGCCTCTTTCTTATTTATTTATTTATTTATTTATGTACTTTAAAGATTTTATTTATTCATTTGAGACAGAGAGATACAGAGAGAGAGAGAGAGAGCATGAGCAGGGGGAGAGGCAGAGGGAGAAGCAGGCTCCCCGCTGAGCAGGGAGCCTGATGCGGGGCTCCATCCCAGGACCCTGGGATCATGACCTGAGCGGAAGGCAGACGCTTAACCGTCTGAGCCACCCAGGCGCCCCTGTGTTCTGCCTCTTTCTTTGGTCTCTCCCTGCTCTCCGTGTACCGGGGCCAATTTTAGATTTCACCTAGGAAACTCCCAAGGTTTCAAACCAACAAAAGGTGTCCTTGATGCTATTTTTATTCTAGCACGCTTGCCCTAAGCTTGAAATCATCTCCAAATAAAAAGTTTAAAAAACAAAACAATAGTAGCTTTATAGTATGTGTCATATTATATTGTGATCGTGGCTCCACTAGTCTGTGAGTAATCACAGACACAGAATATGTCTTTTTTTTTTTTTTAAGTAATCTCTGTACCCAATGTGGGGCTTGAACTCATGACCCCCCCCCCCCCCGATCAAGAGCCACATGTTCCACCGACTGAGCCAGTCAGGTGCCCCAGACTTAATCACCATTGCCAGGGCCTGGGTGTGGGTGGGCACCTTCACAGGACAGGGCAAATAGTAGGTATGCAATACATGTTTAATGATTGAACATAAGCATTTGCAAATGAATGCCCCACAAAGGTTGTGCTGATGCGGCTTATTTCCTGGGTGATACTAGGCAAGGGTTCAGGCAAGTTAAGAAGTCTCTGCCGGTCTCCTATCAAAGCATTTACAGGTTTCTTTTTCTTGTGGTTAGTATATCTTTTTTTGTAGTATTTCTTTTTTAAAATTAGAGTATAATTGACATATAACATGTTATTTTCAGGTATACAATATAATGATTCAATCCTTTATACATTGCAAAATGATCACAGCAATAAGTCTGGTTACCTTCCATCATCATACAGTTACAAACTTTTTTTTTTATCATGAAAGCTTTCAAGATTTACTCTCTTGGGAACTTTCAAATAAGCAATAAAATATTACTGTCTGTAATCATCATGTTGTATATTACATCGCTGTGACGTTTATTTAATAACTGGAAGTTTGTACCTCTCAATCCACTTCCCCATTTTACCCACCCTCCTCTCCCCTCCCTTCTGGCAATCACCAATCTGTTCTCTGTATCTATGAGTTTTGTTTTGCTCATTTGCTTTGTTTTTTAGATTGTACATGTAAGTGAAATCCTATAGTATTTGTCTTTCTCTGTCTGAGTTATTTCACTTAGCATAATATTCTCAAGGTCCATCCATGTCGTTGCATGTGGCAAGCTTTCATTCTTTTTTATGGCTGAGTAGTATTCCATTATATATATATCTCACATCTTTTTTACCCATTTATCCATTGATGGACACTTAGGTTGTTTCCATATCTTAGCTATTGTAAATAATGCTGCAGTGAACATAGGGAGTGCATATATCTTTTTGAATTCGTGTTTTCATTTTCTTTTGGATAAATAACCAGAAGTGGGATTGCTAGATCATGTGGCAGTTCTATTTTCAATTTTTGGGGGAACCTCCATACTATTTTTCCATAGTGGTATAGATTTCTTGATGTTATTGCCTCTTCCCTTCAGGAATTCATTTTATATCACAGGCATTATACCTCTGTAAGGCATGTGTTATGGATTCCTCAGTTCTGAATATGTTAAGGCTTTCCTAAAGTAAAGCCCAAACAATTTTGGGCAGGCTATGTTGAAATTTACCATTTCCTGTTACCTCTCTAATTGAGCAGACACCCTGAAAAATTTGTGAACACTCCCACACCACCTTCACAAAAAGATATGATTGTAAACCACAAGAAGTCACATGATTCACTGAAGAAACTCTCCAAACAAGTGCCTGCCTCATTATATCTGCCTCTAATTAAGAGAACGACTCATCAGTATTCCATGATGTTTAATTGTTTTTACTACTGCTTTGGACTATTTTCAAAAAAACCATAACTCAAAAAAAATTTTTTTAAATCATAATTCACTCATTCATTAAATAAAAAAAATTGTTGAATATCTACAGTAGATACTGACCTGGTCACTGAGGATGCAGTAGTGAACAAAACAGATATGTCTCTGGTGTCATGGAGTTTACAGTGTAGTAGGGGAGACAGATATTAGACAAATAATATATCAGAGATTACCTTTGTAAAACTCAACATTTAAAAAAAATACAACAGGGCGCCTGGGTGGCTTAGCCATTAAGCATCTGCTTTCAGCTCAGGTCATGATCCTGGGGTCCTGGGATTGAGCCCCGCATTGGGCTCCCTGCTCTGCGGGAAGCCTGCTTCTCCCTCTCCCACTCCCCCTGCTTGTGTACACTCTCTCGCTGTCTCTGTCTCTGTCAAATAAATAAATAAAATCTTTTAAAAAAATAAAAATAAAAAATAAAAAAAGATACAACAGATTTCCAGACTTAAGACTCAACATTCCTAGAAATCATTTCTTTAGGAAGTTTGGGTGTAGGGCACCTGGGTGGCTCAGTTGGTTAAGCGACTGCCTTCAGCTCAGGTCATGATCCTGGAGTCCCGGGATCCAGTCCCGCATCGGGCTTCCTGCTCGGCGGGGAGTCTGCTTCTCCCTCTGACCCTCTTCCCTCTCGTGCTTTCTATCTCTCATTCTCTCTCTCAAATAAATAAATAAAATCTTTAGAAAAAAAAAGGAAGTTTGGGTGTATACATTTTGTGGTTTTACAAAATTATCAGTTAGAGTCTTTCTATATATCTCCTCCTTGGATTGAAAGTTAATACTGTTGGCTTGTCATTAATAGAAGTAATAGAATTAACTTGTCAGCAATTTTCTCAGTAACATAAGAAAGGAGCCCTGTATCGGTGACCAGCGGAAACAGATGACACACTAACTTTTTTTTTTAGGATTTTATTTATTTATTTGTCAGAGAGAAAGTTAGCACAAGCAAGGGGAGCAGCAGAGGGAGAAGCAGGCTCCCTGCTGAGGAAGGAACCTGATGTGGGACTCGATCCCAGGACCCTGGGATCATGACCTGAGCCGAAGGCAGACGCTTAACCGACTGAGCCACCCAGGTGTCCCAGACACACTAACATTTTTTGAAAGAAGCATTTAATAAAGTGACTATGTGCAAAATTTAGGTAGTGTGTTGAGAATCCACAAGTGATATTCCAGAACTAGCGGCTAGCAAGGCTGTTAACATCCTTACAACTAATGCAGCAGAGGGAGACAGTAATTTCTTGAACCTGGGTAGGGGAGAGCAAGGGCCTTGTGGCAAGGGCTACTTGATGTAGGAACTGTGACCTTCAGGTGAGGGAAACAGCCAGCCAGCCTACAGAAACCTCTCAGGGAACAAGTCATAGAAGTAGGTACCCCAACTTCGTTCTCCTCCATTCCTGCAATTTCCTGCCAGTCCTCTCCATTGGCCAAACCCAACTGGAAGCCAGGGGCCATGGAGCTCACCGATATCTGTATATGGGTGAGTACGGAGCAGAGTGGGGAGTGGATCTGGAAGAGCAAATCATTAAAGGATAAGGAGCACAAGTCCTTAGTACTCTCTTCTCATCACAGCCTAAGTCTTAACTGTTTGACTCCACCTCTCTTACATTTTATTTTCTAATCTCACCAACTCCTATTCCCCCTTTCTAATGTAAAACTGAGGCTCATCTTTGGAAGCTAATGCTTGTCACATTTTCCTAGTTGTTGTAGAGGCTGCTTTGTGACCACAGGCTTGAGCCATGGAAACTCGGTCAAGGCAAAAGGGCCCATGGGACCCCAACCCCCTGGCTGAATCCAGACAGGCCCATCAGGCGACCCATCTCAAAATAGCCATAGGCCCTAACTAACCAACGCGCTGCTGCGGACAACCAGGCACCGCTACCAAAAAAGGGAAAATTTCGTGCATCCCTCTCCCTCACCTTTCCCCTTTAAGTACAGCCCCCACCCACTGCCTCTTGCAGACAATCCCTGCTTTGCTCCCTTGTGGTGTATTCAATAAACTTCTAGCTCCTTTGTTCAGCCTTGGGTGAATTCTTTCACTGCTGGGGCCACTGGCTTCCACCCCATCGGGTTGCCCCACATTTGGGGGCCCCCATGGGATCGGGAGAGACACCACAGTTGTGACTTCTGACCTTCTTACTCCCTCTCTCATCCCTTTGACCAAGATGTTTTCATCTGCTCTGGGTAACCTTGCCCAGTTCAGCCCAAGTTCTGGAACACAATTTCGGCCAAGGCCCTTATAGCAAGAACTTCTTGCTTTAGCCCTGTGAGTGGCAAGTGGATGTAACCAAATGAGATGGGAGGCACTTATTTGTGTCCAACTAATAACTCAGTCACCACTCCAGTTCTGTTTAGCTCCACCCCCACCCCTTGCCTGGCAACCACACCCATGATTAGGATCACTGAGAACAAAGAGGCTGGACTCCAAACAACCAGGTTCAAAGATACCACCTACCTCATCAGAGGAAGGATGAAAATGGTTGGAGAGACTATGAACCCGAAGAACTAGTATTTCTTGCCCAGGCCGGATGATGAAATTTTTTTTTTTTTTGGATGATGAAATTTTTAAAAAGGCAGGCTAGTAAAGAGTTCTGGCATGCATGGGAAAGAAACTCCAATTTCAGTCCCGTGGCTACCTTTGGAGAGGGAAGGTAAAGAGATCCAGGAGAAGTACAGAGGGAGCTCCAACTGGGGTTATATTTTATTTCTTAATAACGGAAATGCTGAAGCATATGGAAGAAAATGCTAGAATTTGCTAGTGAATGGTAGGGTGCTACTTATGAAATTCTTTGTACTTTTCTCCGTGTGGAGAGTACAGTTGGGAGGCGGGGGCGGGGGCTATACGTGACGGAGGAAAGCAGACAGGATGTAGAGAACAGTGCGATTATCTGTCTGCCAGGGTCCCAGTGGTGTTCTGGGAGCTTGTCATGGGTCTCTAGAATCCTGATATGAGCAGTTTGGAGACCTGATAAAGTTTGCATTCCTAGCTCTGCTCCACAAAGGAGGTAGTCCTCTGTGGTAGTTAGCAGCCAGTCTGTGGAGCCAGCCTGCCCAGGTCAGATCTTGCTTGGGCCACGTCCTGGCTGTGTCCCAGTTTCCTCATCTGTAAAATGGGATGAGAATGTCAACCCATGTCAAAGTGTTGTTGAGAAGATTATGGCCACAGACTAAATTTTACGCTATTTTTAGGTTGTTATTCTCCCAGACAAGCTTAACTAATGAGAACAGCCCTCTAGCATAGGGGTTGGCAAACTTTTTCTGTAAAGGGCCACATACTAAACATTTGAGGCTTTGCAGGCCATAGGATTTCTGTCTCAACTGATGTAGGAAAGATGTTAATGGCTGAAAGCTGATGGCCAAGAAGGAATTCTTGAGACGTCTTTGGTGCAAAAAGGTGGTTTTATTAAAGCACCGGGACAGGACCCGTGGGCAGAAGGAGCTGCCCTGGGGTCGTGAGGAGTGGTCCATTATATACTTGCAAGTTGGGAGGGGGTTAGGGACAGAACAAACCTCCAAGGTATTTTGGAAACAAGGTTTCCAGGATCCTGAGGGGGCTAGCTATTGTTAGGAAAGGGCATTTATTACTGTTTAGTAAACCCTCAGTCAAGAGACTCTTCAGATGTGTATCAGTGGGCCATATGGAGGATGATTCCTAACATGTATTTTGCGGGGGGGGGGGGGGGGGGGGGGCGGTGGAGATAAAGGGAGCTCCAAAGGAATTTCTATATGTTTAAAGTAGACTCACAGGATCCTGGAGGGTCCAGCAAAGATTGCCTTTTGTCCTTAGCGAAGTGTCAACATCAAGGCCATCAAGGCATTGAGTCCCTAGAGGAATGTCACTCTGCTTGTTTCAAGGACTTGTCAATGGACTGTAAGTGGTAAGGAAATTTAATAATTTTTCTTCTGCCTTTGTTTCCCACATCACCAACTACTTAACTCTGGTGTTTTGTTTTTAAAGATTTTATTTATTTATTTGACAGGGAGGGATACAGTGAGAGAGGGGACACAAGCAGGGGGGATGGGAGAGGGAGAAGCAGGCTTCCCGCTGAGCAGGGAGCCCGATGTGGGGCTTGATCCCAGGACCCCGGGACCATGACCTGAGCCGAAGGCAGCTGCTTAACAACTGAGCCACCCAGGCGCCCCTTAACTCTGGTGTTGTAGTGAGAAAGCAGTCATGCACAATACATAAAGAAATGGATATTGTTGTGTTCCAATAAAATTTTATCAGTATATCCGTTAATAACCAGTGGGAGCCAGAGGCCTGAGTTTTCAGGGCTCAAGAAGGGATTGAGGGAGCAGGGACTTCATTATCCTCTGGGGAGAGGGCATACATCGCAAAGACAGGGTCTGAGGGTGGGTGTAAGGGATTGACTCCTGAATGGGAAGCAGCTTAAAGGGGAGCACTGTGAGCTGCTGAGGAGAAAGGAGGGAAGAATTAGGGAAGAGTTCCCTAAATTATTTGCAACTTCACACAGGTATGCCCCTTTTGGGTTCTAGGGGGTCCTGATGTATTGCCCTCCTCAGTCCTCAGGACAACCAGACAAGGACTTAGTGTGGCTGAGCCCCTAGGCTAATCATCTCTGTCCATGAGCCATCTATCCATTTACCACAGTGTGCTCTAAAAAATCAGTTTCTATGAAGACTGTTTTAAAAAAAAAAAAAGCCCCAAATGGAGTCACTTGCAAACCAAGACTTAATTGCAAAATTTAATGTAACCTTTATGCAGGCAATCTGAAATTTCCTGATCAGCACTAGTGCAGTAATCTGCATGATAAGACCTCCCTGCCCTTCTTCCTAGGGGAAGGTGACCTTGCCTGAAACAATCCTTTCTTTTCTTTTGCTAATAACTTCCTTGTTTCTGCCTGTACAAACCTTCCATTTTGTATAACTCTTTTGTACAGAGCCTTTCTACTTGCTAGATGGGATGCTGCCTGATTCATGAATTGTTGAATAAAACCAATTAGCTCTTCAAATTTACTCGGTTAAATTTTGCTTCAACTGTACCATGACAAGAAATAGTCTGGGAAGCACCAAATTAGGAAATAAGGAGTACCCAGGGTACCACTCCTGATCTTCCCACCAACCTAACTGTATGTGCAGCTTTGAAATACATGCCTGAAACCTTAAGCCAAGAACTGCTTAAGGTCTTCTATATCAGGTAATGGCAGACTAGGTAATTCAGACCAACCCTCCTTCTAAAGACAAGTAAAAAAGGTGGACAAAGTCTATGAAAAAATGTTTAAAACCATCAAGAGAGCTACTGATGTTGTAGGCATTTTATTAGTTGAACATCAAGGAGGTATTTAGGTAATAAGAGAATTTCATGAGCTACTTTATGTCAGACATTTTTTAAAAGGATTTATTTATTTATTTGAGAGAGAGAGAATGAGCAGGAGGGGCAGAAGGAGAGGGAGAATCTCAAGCCGACTCCGTGCTGTGCGTGGAACTTGACCCGGGGCTTGATATCGTGACACAGATCAGGACCTGAGCTGAAACCAAGAGTTGGATGCTCAACCGACTGTGCCACCCAGGCGCCCCATATGTCAGATATTTTAACATTTAAATAAAATGGATAAATTCTTTGAAAACACAACTTATCAAAATTAATACAGAAAGAAGATAGCTCAAATAATATTAAAGTTTCAGGCCCAGAGCACTTCACAATTGAGTTCTACTAAATATTTGAAGAAGAAATAGCTCCAGTCTCTTCCAGAGACTAGAAATAGGATATTGCCCAACTTATTTTATGAGGATCCTCTAACCTTGGTACTAGAACAACAACAAGGACAGTCTGAGAAAGGCAAAATGATAGGCCAATTTCATTCATCAACATAGATACAAAACTCCTAAACCAAATTTTAGCGAACCACGTCCTGCAATATATGGAGGAAAGTATATCTTGAACAGGTTGGGTTTATGCCCAGAAATGCAAGGATATTTTGACAAAAGAAGCAATTGTTTTAATTGGCCATATTAACATATTTCTTTTCTTTTTCAAATTTTATTTAAATTCTAGTTAGTTAACATATAGTGTAATATTGTTTTCAGGAGCACAATTTAGTGATTCATAACTTACATGTAATACCCAGTGCTCAATATGACAAGTGCCCTCCTTAATACCCATCACCTATTTAGCCCATCCCCACCTGCATCCCTCCATCAACCCTCAGTTTGTTCTCTATCATTAAGAGTCTTATGATTTGTTTCCCTCTCTCTCTTTTTCCCCCCTTCCCATATGTTCATCTGTTTTGTTTCTTAAACTCCACATATGAGTGAAATCGTATGGTATTTGTCTTTCTCTGCCTGACTTATTTCGCTTAGCATAATCCACTCTAGCTCCATCCACGTTGTTGCAAATGGCAAGGTTTCATTCCTTTTGATGGCTGAGTAATACTCCATTGTATATATATACCACATATCTATCCATTCATCAATCGATGGGCTTTTGGGTTCTTTCCACAAATTGGCTATTGTTGATAATGCTGCTGTAAACATCGGGGTGCATGTATCCTTTTGAATCAACATTTTTATATCCTTTGGGTAAATACCTAGTAGTGCAATCGCTGGGTCATAGGGTCATTCTATTTTTAACTTTTTGAGGAACCTCCATACTGTTCTCCAGAATGGCTGCACAAGTTTGCATCCCCACCAACAATGTAAGAAGGTTTCCCTTTCTCCGCATCCTCACCAACACTTGTTGTTTCTTGTGTTGTTAACTTTAGCCATTCTGACTGGTATGAGATGATATCTCATCAGGGTTGTGATGTGTATTTCCCCAATGATGAGTGACGTTGAGCATCTTTTCATGGGTCTGTTAGCCATCTGGAGATCTTCTTTGGAAAAATATCTATTCGTGTCTTTTTTTTTTTTAGAGATTTTATTTGTCAGAGCATAAGCAGAGCAGGCAGA